GCGATCCTTCTGCCTCAGCCTTCCAAGTAGCTGGAACTACAGGTGTGCACTACCATGCCTGGCTGATTTTTTGATTTATTGTAGAGATGCGTTGTCGCTAAGCTGCCCAGGCTGGTCTTGAGCTCCTAGACTCAGGCAGTTCTCTCACCTCGGCCTCCCAAAGTGCTGGGATGACAGGCTTGAGCCACCGTGCCTGGTTCTCAGTTAAATTTCTTACGTGAGAAACAGCAATAGATATTTACCCACACAAATGGACACTCTTTGGGATCCTCGATTTTTAAGCGTATAAAGAAGTCATGAAACCAAAAAGTTGAGAACTGCTGAATTAAGGAAACAGGAAGATAACTTTTTTTGTGGCGGGTTGATTATGGCTCAGTAAACGGATCGGTTGAACTGCATGACTCCACGTGGGCAGTGACCTAGTCTAACAGCAGCTGTGGACATCCTGGAAGTTACACTAAATCCACTTTCTTTCTCCTTTTTTTAGAGATTATGCATGATGTGATAAAGAAGGTCAAGAAGAAGGGGGAGTGGAAGGTAAGTCAAGAGTGCAGTTAATGGGCTGGAGAGTGAAAGACAAGGCCGAGAGCTGGAGGAAAGGTTGTAGGCAGGAACAAGGGTTTTCGCTGTGTCTGGAGGCTGCAAAACACTCCTGGATTGGAGAAAGGTGATCTGCTCTGCCTCTCATTTTACATAATCTCGGTTAAGGAGACTCCGGGGCTAGGTGTGGTAGCTCACGCCTGTAATGCCAGCACTCTGGGAGGAAGAGGTGGGAGGATAGCTTGAGCCTAGGAGTTCAAGACCAGCCTGGGCAACACAGTGAGACCTCACCTCCACAGTATATCAAAGGTTATCTTTTTTTTTGAGTCAGAGTCTCACTCTGTCCAATCGGGAGTATAGTAGCATGCTCATGGCCACCGCAGCCTCAATCCACTGGGCGCAGGCGATCCTTCCACCATAGTCTTCCAAGTGTCTGGGACTACAGGCATGTGTTACTATGCGCAGCCAATTTTTTGATTTACTTTAGAGACGAGGTCTTGCTAAGTTGCCCAGGCTGGTCTCAAACCCTTGGGCTCAGGTAATCCTCTTGCCTTGGCCTCCCAAAGTGCTGGGATTACAAGTGTGAGCCACCGTACTTGGCCCATGAAGCTTTCTTTCTTTCTTTTTGAGTTGAAGTCTCACTCTGTCACCCAGGCTGGAGTTCAGTGGCACGCTCACTGCCACCTCAGTGTCGATCTGCTGGGCTCCGGAGATCCTTCCACCTCAGCCTTTCAAGTAGCCAGAACTACAGATGCATGCTACCACCTGCACCCAGCTAATTTTTGATTTATTGTAGAGACAAGGTCTTGCCAGGTTGCTCGGGCTGCTCTTGAACCCATGGGCTCAGGCAGTCTACTTGCCTCAGCCTCCCAAAGTTCTGGAATTACAGGCCGAGTCACTGAGCCTGGCCAAGCTTTCTTTCTTTCTTTTTTTTTTTTTTTAGAATTGGAGTCTCACTCTGTCTCTGTCGCCTTGACTGGAGTGTAGTGGCACACTCCCGTTCACGACAGCCTCAACGTGCTGGGCTCAGGCAGTCCTTCCGCTTCAGCCTTCCAAGTAGCTGGTACTACAGGCATGCACTACCATGCCCAGCTAGTTTTTTTGACTTATTGGAGAGACGAGATCTCACCAAGTTGCCCAGGCTGGTCTCGAACCCCGAGGTCAGGCAATCCCCTCACCTTGGCCTCCCAAAGTCCTGGGATTACAGGCTTGAGCCACTGCACCCGGCCTGTAAAGCTTTCTTAAAGCTCACCTGGCTTGGGTAGTTAACAGTAGAACTCTCTTATTTAAACAGAAGCTTGTGCTTGCTTCAGCAGCACATATCCTAAAATTGAAATGATACAGAGAAAATTAGCATGACCCCTACCCAAGGATGACACACAAATTCATGAAGCATTCCATATTTAAAAAATAAATAAACAGAATCTTACCTGAAACCCGTTAGATAAAGCAATGGGAGGTCTAATCACGCTGCTCGCTGTGGGAGGGGAGAGAAACCCTTCTTGTTCCTCGGTGACCATAAGGCATCTTCGCAGAGCCCTGCAGCAGTCTGAAAAGCCCCCATTTAGCTTATTCCCATCTCTCTGCAACTACACAAGATGAATACAGTAAGTGTGTCTGTTCATAAGAGGTTGGCAGCCGGGCTGGAAACCATGGTGTACACGAAATGACTCATTAAGCCAACCCAGCTGAGAGTAGCCGGGCTCCTGGAGAGGTTGGTGCAGGAGCGATGCTTGCTCCCACCCTGTGTGAAGTCAGCATCTCAAGGCCCACTTGATTGTCTGGGGCTGGGTGTTGGATGGGCCAGGAGAGTGTGCTGTTTTTCTTGAACTTTCCTGCATGTTGTTGAAGTGTTTATAACAACCATTCTTGGCCCCTGGTCGAGAGCCCACGCATTTTCAAGTTCATCAGGCCTTGGAACAACGAAGCTGGTGGGTGCAGAAGTCTCACCTCTGCCTATGTTTTAGCCAGTATATCCATCCTCACCTCCCAGAAGGGGAGGCCATCTGGTGGGAACTCTTGATGCATGGCTTTCTCTCTTACTCTTCCCACCAGTAATGGATTTGTAGACATGGGAATCTCAAGCTAATCTCGAGGAAGCTGCCTTGTGAAAAGAAAACGAACTAACCTCGTGCTGCGGCCGGAAGCTTTCAGGTCCACACTGTCTGCCACGATGTGTTTGCCTCCCATTGCCTCTTTCTCAGTCTGTGTCATTAAACAAAGACCACAAGGAACAGCCTTGGCTTGACTGCCAGCTTCCGCCTTCATGGTGGGCTGAAGGGAGATGGGAAAGGTTAGCTGGAGAATTTCAGGTAGTGCTTTCGGATCAGGACTGCAGTGTTCCTTTTTTTCCAGACTGGACTGTGGTATACTACATGGCGTGTTCATTCTCCCCTAAAAACAAGTTTATGCTCTGAAAAAGCACTCACTAATATGTCTTTGAGTGTTGGTGCCGCAGATGATGTTTTTCTTTCTTCCTTTTTCTTTTTTGTATTGTATTTTATTTTTATTTTTTGAGTTGGAGTCTCACTCTGTTGCCCAGACTGGAGTGCAGTTGCCGCTCCCGGCCACCACAGCCTTGACCTGCTGGGTTCCGGCGATCTTTCTGCCTCAGCCTTCCAAGTAGCTGGAACGACAGGCGTGCACTACCACACCAGGCTGATTTTTTGATTTATTGTAGAGATGAGGTCTCGCTGAGTTGCCCAGGTGGGTCTCAAACCCTTGGGCTCAGGCAATCTACTTACCTTGGCCTCCCAAAGCACGGGATTACAGGCTGAGCCACCAAGGCTGGCCTAAAAATTAACTTTTTAAAAATCTGAGCCAGGATCTCACTCTGTCACCCAGGCTAGAGTGCAGTGGCACAATCACGGCTCACCACAGCCTCAAACTCCTGGGCTCAGACGATCCTACCTTAGCCTCCTGAGTAGCTGGGGCTATAGGCATGCGCCACCACACCTGGCTAATTTTAAATTCTTTGTAGAGACAGGGTCTTGCTATGTTACCCAGGCTGGTTTCAAATTCCTGGGCTCAAGCAGTCCTCCTGCCTTGGCCTCACAAAGTGCTGGGATTACAGGCATGAGTCACCATGCCCAGCATAGAAAAGGAACTTTTAAAAGTTTATACTTTGCCAGTAATCCCAGCACTTTGGAAGGCAGAGGCGAGAGGATTGCCTGAGCCCATGGGTTTAAGACCAGCCTGGGCAACATGGCAAGACCTCATCTCTACAATTAAAAAAAGGTTTTTTTAATTAACTGGGCGTGGTGGGGCATGCCTGTAGTTCCTGCAACTTGGAAGGTTGACGCAGAAGGATTGCCTGAGACCAGCAGGTTGAGGCTGGGTGGCCATGAGCGTGCTACTGCACTCCAGCCTAGGTGACGAAGTGAGACTCTGACTCAAAGATAAATAAATAAATGAACGTTTATAAAATTAAGTCAAATCAGTGAGAGGAAATTGACTCCCAGAAGGGTAGGTTTGGGTGCAGGAGGAAAAGGCGAGCATGTATCTCCGCGGGTTTCTGGTCTACAGGCAGCATCGTCTCCTCAGTGCTCTGCATTCCTGGCGCTCCTCTCAACGCCTGGCCCAGGAGGCTGATGAGGAAATCTCAGCAGAGTTCGTGCAGTCCATACCTGTGCTCTCTCCTTCCAGGTGTTGGTGGTGGACCAGCTAAGCATGCGAATGCTCTCCTCCTGCTGCAAGATGACGGACATCATGACGGAGGGCATAACGAGTGAGCAGTGTTCCCCATGCCCTTGGCAGTACAGGTGCCTTCCCTCCGTGGTGTGCCTTGCTCTGTCCTGTGCCTGTTGGCTGGCTTGACTTTAGAGTCTTCCAGCAGCCTGTGTGGCGGGACTGGAAGCTCCTGAGAGAGACCCAGGCCTGTCTCGTCATCACAGAATCCCCAGCCCTAATCCCATGCTGGATGGCATTAGATGTCTGTTCAAGGGCTGCCGAGAGAAAGGTTAAATCAAGGAAACAAAGGCAGCCCACCCAGTAGGAAAAAGTTCTAAATAGACGTTTAAAGGAAGAAATCCAAATGGCCAATAAATACATGAAAACTGGCCGGCCGTTGCCTTGCTAGACTCTGGTGTGGCCATGTGTTCTCTGGGCTGTGGCTGTCACCATGCTTCCTGGCTTTGGCCCCCTCCCCACCTTGGGGAGGTGAATCTTCGCTCTCCCTTCTCTTTCTTACTTCATTTATTTTAAAATAAACTGTATTTTTTTTTATCTAAAAAAAAGAAAACTGCCCATCATTGTCAGTGGTTAGAAAATGCAATTCAAGCCGGGCTCGGTGGCTCAGTCTGTAATCCCAGCACCTTGGGAGGCCGAGGTGAGTGGATTGCCTGAGCCCGTGGGTTCAAGACCCGCCTGGGCAACTTAGCGAGACCTCCTCTCTACAATAAATAAAAAATAAGCCGCGCGTAGTAGCACACACCTGTAGTTCCAGCTACTCGGAAGGCTGAGGCGGAAAGATCGCCAGAGCCCAGCAGGTGGAGGCTGCGGTGGCCGGGAGCGGCCACTGCACTCCAGTCTGGGCGAAAGAGTGACACTCTAACTCAAAAAAAAAGAAAATGCAATTCAAGCCAGAGTGAGATACCCATGTAGACACACCAGGTTAGAGCATTTAAACTCTGATAATGCCTGTGACAGTGAGGAGGTAGAAAACTGGGAGCTTGTACATGGCAAAGTGCCAGTCAGTACAGCCACTTTAAAAAACACTTGGCTGGCCAGGCTCAGTGGCTCAGCCTGTCATCCCAGCACTTTGGGAGGCCAAGGCAAGTGGATTGCCTGAGGCCACGGGTTCGAGACCAGCCCGGGCAACTTGGCGAGACCTCGTCTCTACAATAAATAAAAAATTAGCCGGGCATGGTAGCGTGCACCTGTAGTTCCAGCTACTTGGAAGACTGAGGCAGAAGGATTGCCCAGGCCCAGCAGATCAATGCTGGGGTGGCCGTGAGTGTACCACAAAACTCCAGCCTGGGCGACGGAGTGAGACTCCAACTCAAAAAGTAAAAAAATAAAAAATAAAGTAAGTAAAAAAACACTTGGCCACATCTAACAAAGTTCAAGGCTTATATGTCCTGTGAGCCAGCAAGTCCATGGCTAGGAGTGTGTCCTAGACAACCTCAGGTGTGTGTGCCCAGGAATGTTCAGAGTGTTGTTCATCAGAGCCCCAAGTGGGAAACAGCCAACACATCTATCAAGAGTAGCATGGTTATATAAATCGTGGTGTAGTGACACAGAGACATCAATGAAAATGGATATGCTGACTACTCACGAGAATACGAATGACTGACAAACACTCTGCTGAGCAAAGCAAGACACAAGAGAGTACTGACAGTATGCTTTCAATTCTATGAAGTTCCAAGCTAGGCAGAGCTAAACGTATCATTTTGGAATGCAGACTCTGTGGTAAAACCGCAGAGACAGCCGGGCTCGGTGGCTCAGCCTGTAATCCTGCGCCTTTGGGAGGCTGAGATGAGTGGATTGCCTGAGCTCACGGGTTCGAGACCCGCCTGGGCAACTTGGCGAGACCTCATCTCTACAATAAATCAAAAATGAACCAGGCTTGGTAGCGCGCGCCTGTAGTTCCAGCCACTCGAAAGGCTGAGGCAGAAGGATCGCCGGAGCCCAGCAGGCGAGGCTGTGATGGCCGGGAGCGGCCACTGCACTCCGGTCTGGGCGACAGAGTGAGACTCCGACTCAAAAAAAGAACCAAAAAACCCCGCAGAGACACGCTCATGTCCAAGTCAGGATGGTGGCTCTCTCTGGAGGGAAGGGAGGGAATTGCAATGAGGGAGGGGACTGTGGACCGGGCAAGGGCACTGCCGCCGTGCTGCTGGGTTCTGGTTCTTCAACTGAAGCGCTGCTTATGTGGACATTTGTGTCATTGTTATTGACATGGTTATGGTTTAGTCACTCTTTGGAATGTGTGTTACCATTTCACACTAAATAGGTTCTTCAGGACTGGGCGTGGTGGCTCACACCTGTAATCCTAGCACTTTGGGAGGCCCAGGTGGGAGGATTGCATGAGCCCCAAAGTTCGAGATCAGGCTAGGCAACTTAGGGAGACCACATCTTTACAAAAAATTGCCAGGTGAGGTGGCATGTGTGAATAGTCCCAGCTACTCAGGAGGCTGAGACAGGAGGATCACTTGAGTCCAGGAGGTTGAGGCGGTAGTGAGTCATAATCATGCCACTGCACTCCAGCCTGGGGACAGAATGAGACCCTTTCTCTAGCAAAAATAAAAAATAAGTTTTTCAAAAGGGCTCCATCACCTGCTCATGGTCAGTGTCGTACCTGGGAGCCAGGACTCAGACCTTCTGGCTCCATCCCAGAGTTCTTATTCACGTCCGTGTGCACCTCTAGTCTTCCTTGGGGGCCCGTCTTGAGAGGGACCACGTGTTTGCATCGCCAAAACAGCACTGATTGGAAAGCAATCTCTTTTGAGGGATTGTTTCAGGCAAGGAAATGCATCGCTCCATTTGTCTCCCTGGAGATGCCTTTTCTGGCGTGTGGCTCACTGACTTGCTGGTTTTCATCAAAACGTCAAAGGAGGAAAAATGAGGAGGGTTGGGCTTTTCGTTAAGCTCAGCGAATTCAGGCATTTTGAGGGCCGCCCTGTATTCCAAGATTATGTCTTTCCTATTATTTGGTGTTGAAATGTCCTTAAATTCTGAAAATATAGTGATGATATGTTGTGGATTTTCCTGTTGTTTAAATTCCATGTGAAAAAGTATATATAGAATTTTTTTTATTTTTGAGTCAGTCTTACTCTGTTGCCCAGGCTGGAGTGCAGTGGCACAATCACAGCTCACTGCAGCCTCAAATTCCTAGGTTCAAGTGATCCTCCCACCTCAGCCTCCCAATTAGCTGGGACTACAGGCATGTACCACCATACTCAGTTAATTTTTTTTATTTTTTATTTTTTTGGTAGAGACAAGATCTTTCTATGCTGCCCACGCTAGTCTATATCCTGGGCTCAAGTGATCCCCTTGCCTTATCCTCCCAAAGTGCTGGGATTTTAGTGTGAGCCACCGTGGCTGGCCAATTATATATATAATTTTAATTTTGTACAATCGCAACTTGGACGTGATTTCTTCATTTAAAAAAATAGACTTCATTTTTCTAGAGCAGTTTTAGGTTGGCAGCAAAATCGAGCAGGTCCAGAGATTTCCCACATGGCCCCTGCACCCAGGCATGCACAGCTTCTCATTTTATCCATATTTCTCACGTTTGGTACCTTTGGTACAAGCAATGAACTGACATTAACACATTATTATCACCCAAAGACTGTAGTTTACACTGAGGTTCTCCTTTGGTGTTGTACATTTTTGGTGTTTGGGCAATTGTGCAGTGACATGTATCCACCATGGTCCCACCATACAGAGTAGTTTTTTTTTTGAGTTGGAGTCTCACTGTCACCCAGACTGGAGTGCAGTGGCATGCTCCTGGCCACTGCAGCCTCCACCTGCTGGGCTCTGGCGATCCTTCTGCCTCAGCCTTCTAAGTAGCTGAATCTTCAGGCGCACGCTACCACGCCCCGCTGATTTTTGATTTATTGTAGAGATGAGGTTTTGCCAAGTTGCCCAGGCGGGTCTCGAACCTGCGGGCTCAGGCAATCCACTCACCTCAACTTCCCAAAGCGTGGGATTACAGGCTGAGCCACCGAGCCCGGCTTCAGAGTAGTTTTTATTTTTTATTTTTATTTTTGAGTCAGAGTCTCACACTGTTGCCCAGGCTAGAGTTCAGTGGCATGCTCACGGTCATTGCATCCTCGATCTGCTGGGCTCAGGTCGTCCTTCTACTTCAATCTCCAAGTAGCTGGAACTATAGGTATGTGCCACCACACTAGGCTAATTTTTTGATTTATTGTAGAGACAAGATCTTGCCATGTTGCTCAGGCTAGTCTTGAACTCCTGGGCTCAAGCAGTCCTCCCTCCGCGGCCTCTCAAACTTGAGCCACCGCATGTGGCCTCATTTCTTTTTAATGCTGAATAATATTTCATTGCCTGGATACACCACAGTTTATTTACCCATTCGCCTGCTGAAGGACATGTTGGTTGCTTCCAAGTTTTGATAGTTAAGAATAAAGCTGCTAAGCCAGGCTCGGTGGTTCAGCCTGTAATCCCGCGCTTTGGGAGGTTGAGGTGAGTGGATTGCCTGAGCCCGCAGTTTCGAGACTTGCCTGGGCAACTTGGTGAGACCTCATCTCTACAATAAATCAAAAAATCAGCCGGGCGTGGAAGTGCATGCTTGTAATTCCGGCTTCTTGGAAGGCTGAGGTGGAAGGATCGCCGGAGCCCAGCAGGTCAAGGCTGTGGTGGCCAGGCGACAAAGTGAGACTCCAACTCAAAAAAAAAAAAAAAAGAAAGAATAAAGCTGCTATAACATTCGTGCACAGGTTTTTGTGTGCCCATAAGCTTTCAACTCCTTTGGGTAAATACCAAGAAGCTTGCTTGCTGAATCATATGGTAAGTGTGTGTTTAGCTTTGTATGAAACCAAACTGTTTTCCAGAGTGGCTGTGCCGTTTGGCATTTCCACCAGTGTTGAGTGACAGTTCCTGGCGCCACATCCTTGTCCGTGTTCATTGTTGTCAGTGTTCTGGATCTCGCCCCTTCTCATAGATGCGGTGTGAGGTGGTATCTCATTGTTATTTTAATTTGCATTTCCCTGATGACCTATGATGTGGAGCATCTTTTCATGTGCTTATTTGCCATTGGTATGTCTTTTTTGGTGAGTGTCTGCGAAGTCTTTGATCTATTTTTTAATTGGGCCATTTGTTTTCTTATTGTCAAGTTTTAAGAGTTCTTTGTATATTTTGGATAACAGTCCTTTATCGGATATGTCTCCTGAAAATATCCCAGTCTGTGGCTTATCTTCTCATTCTCTCAATGTTGTCTTCTGCAGAGCAGAAATTTATAATTTTAATAAAGTCCAATTTATCAATTTTTCAGGGATTGTGCCTTTGGTGTCACATCTAAAAAGTCGTTGCCAAGCCCAAGGTCATCTAGCTTTTCCTTTGTTATCCTGTAGGAGCTTCATAGTTTTGCATTTACGCTTAGGTCTGTGATCTATTTTGTGTTAGTTTTGCAAGGGGTGTAGGGCATGTGTCTGCACTCATTTTGTCGCGTGTGGATGTCCAGTTATTCCAGCATAATTTGTCTTTTCTCCATTGTGTTGCCTTTGCCCTTGCCAAAGACCAGCTGACTTTATTATGAGGCTCTGTTTCTGGGTTCTCTGTTCTGGCCCATTGATCTGTCTATTTTTTGTTTACTGCAATCACATCTTAGATATGATTTCTTTATTTTTATTATTTTATTATTATTATTTTTGAGTTGGAGTTTTCTCACTCCATCACCCAGGCTGGAATGCAGTGGCATGACCACAGCTCACCTCAGCCTCCACCTTCCAGGCTCAAGCCATCCTCCTACCTCAGCCTCCTGAGTAGCTGGGACTATATGTGTGTGCCACCATGCCCAGCTAATTTTTTAATTTTTCTGTAGAGACAAGGTCTCACTATGTTGCCCAGGCTGGTGTTGAACTCCTGGGCTCAAGGGGTCCTTCTGCCTTGGCCTTCCAAGTGCTAGGATTACAGGCATGAACCATTGTTCCCGGCCCAATTTCTTCATTGTCAGGGGAGGGGGGTGAATTGGGCAGTTGAGGGACACTGCCAGGGGAGGGAGGGGCATACCTCATCCACAAAGGTGCCTGCATGATCAACGTTTGTATACCTAACCCTGAACTGTACCCCACATCTTCAAAAAAAAAAATCAATAAATCGGGTTTCTCGCTCACCAGAAGCCATAGTCCCGTAAATGGAATACACAATATTTGGTGTGACTTTTATGTCAATCAGTGATCCAAGTCAGTTATAAGACCAGGCTTATTTTGAGCTTACAAAGTTTTCTTTTTTTTTTTTTTGAGTCAGAGTCTCACTCCATCATCCAGACTGGAATGCAGTGGCATGCACATGGCCACCCCAGTGTCGACCTGCTGGGCTCCGGCGATTCTTCCGCCTCAGCCTTCCAAGTAGCAGGAACTACAGGTGCACGTTATCACACCCAGCTAATTTTTGATTTATTGTAGAGACGAGGTCTCGCCAAGTTGCCTGGGCTGGTCTTGAACCCGCAGGCTCCCAAAGTGCTGGGATTACAGGCTGAGCCACCGAGCCCGGCCCACAAAGTTATTGTCTTCATTGAATGTTTGAAACTATTTTTTTCCTCTATAAAAGAAAAAAAAAAGCCCAAAAGTAAAGAGGAAAAAAGCTAAATGGATCTAATAAGGATGTAAGAAAGGAGCACAGTGCCCTGTCCCTTTCCTCTCTCCATCCCTAGGGTCCGCCCACCAGAGGCAGCCCCCTTGCTCTTTCCATAGTTCTAGATGAATGCTTCCTATTATCTCTTGCTTCATTGAAATTAGATATTGTTGACTTGCTGTGGGAGATGAGGATTCAGGTCTCCATACTACACATGGCCTCTTTCCTACCCCTTGAGGTGGTTTTTAAGAAATGTCCTTGCTTAGCAAAATTAAAAAGTTAAAGCCCTGAAACATTTTGGTAGGAAGCATTCATGGCCTATGAAATTAAAAAATCTACAGCCAGCCGGGTTCGGTGGCTCAACCTGTAATCCCGTGCTTTGGGAGGCCGAGGTGAGTGGATTGCTTGAGCCCGTGGGTTCGAGACCCTACTGGGCAACTTGGTGAGACCTCATCTCTACAATAAATCAAAAATGAACCGGGCATGGTAGCGCGCGCCTGTAGTTCCAGCTATTTGGAAGGCTGAGGCAGAAGTATCGCTGGAGCCCAGCAGGTCGAGGTTGCGGTGGCCGGGAGTGGCCACTGCACTCCAGTCTGGGCGACGGAGTGAGACTCCAACTCAAAAAAAAAATCTACAGCCACTGTTAAAGCAGGTGGTTGAGGGGTTGGTGTTAATCTGAGTATTATTCGGGGAGAAAGTCTTTATAAGTGTTACAAGGGATTGCTCTAGAATGATACTTTTATTTACTTAAATCATCTACACAGGAAGAATGGCACCCATACAGTCGCCTGCTTCTTTCACGCCAGAGGCCAGGGCAGTGTAGATGATGCAGTGTAAGCATTACCAGGTGAAGAGTAAGATGATGATTCTCTCAGAAGCTGTTCTTTCCAGGTGAAGCCGCTGACGTAACTGAAGGAAATTACAAAGCAAAAACCCGTGGCTTGCTCTAACAAAATGCATTTGCTCTTTGCTCTACTGAGAGAAGCAGTATTGTTTAGAGATTAGTTTTGGAATGCCTACATTTGCTATGCTGAGAATTCTCACTGAGGAAGTGAGAATCCAATTGCTGAGAAATAAGCCCAACATGGAAATTTTGGAGGAATTGGTATTATTTAGGACAGATGAAAGAAGGGGCCAAGGAGCCATTCCTTTTTTTTTTTTTTTTTTTAAGGAGACAGGATCTCGCTCTGTCACTCCAGAGGTCAGTGGTGGGATCATAGCTCATTGCAGCCCTGTACTCCTGGGCTCAAGTGATCCTCTTTCCTTGGCCAGGAGCCGTCACCTGGGCTGGAGCCTTTCTTGACAGAATTAGGTAGCATTTTCCATTTTCTTTCAGAACAGATAAAGGAATTTGCTTATACTGAAATGGGAAGTAGGGCGCATTGAATGTGGAAAGATTTAGGATTTTCTGACGCCTCGAGCATGATAAGACAGTGGTGTTCACTTCCAAGGAATATGGCGATCTTAAGGAGAGGTGAAGGAGCCTTTCCCCCTATGGTAGCTATTGATCTATGCCATTCTGAAGGTGGCTGTCTCTGCCGCCTCCTGTGTTATGATCCTCAGTCATGTGCTCTTACTCACTGTGGGTTGTTTTGTTGTCTAGTTGTGGAAGACATCAACAAGCGCCGAGAGCCCCTCCCCAGCCTGGAAGCTGTGTATCTCATCACTCCATCTGAGAAGGTGAGCCTTTCCACAGAAGAACTTCCCCAGGTTAGATGTGCTGGCTTGGGATCTGTGTGGTACAGACTGTCTGACATATCTAGGTTAAGCACGCATTTAACACACTGCTCTGTTTAAGCAGGCAATCCACAGTGCGGCGGTGGGGCTGGGGATGGGAGGGGTGTTTGTGCAGTGAGAAGTGAGGAATGGATTCAGCTGTCCGAGATACCCCAGCTGAAAGAAAGCCAGAGCCTGTGTTCCATGGCCTTGGCTCATCCAAGCTTTCCTTCCCCTTGCACTCCCTCTCCAGGTGGGCGATCCCTGTCCGATTAGCATCCAATCCAGGCTTTGGAATTTCATGTCTTCTGATTTATTTAATCAATATCCAGTTAACGTTCAAATGTATCTGTCTTATAGTTTTGGGAGATTGGTTCAAAGCACCATCGAATAAGGTCCCCCCCTCGCTTTTGGGTGATAGTTGTTTTAGGTGTTTTGTTTGGGTTTTTGTTTGGGTTTTTTTTTTTGAATCAGAATCTCACTCTGTCACCCAGGCTGGACTGTAGTGGCGTGATCATGGCTACCATAGCCTTGACCTGCTGGGTGATCCTTCTGCCTCAGCCTCCCAAGTAGCTGGGACTACAGGCATGTGCCACCACGCCCAGCTAATTTTTTGATTTCTGAAAAGATGAGGTCTTGCTGTGTTGCCCCAGCTGGTCTCAAGCTCTTGTACTCAAGCTTTTCTCTTGCCTCAGCCTCCCAAAGTGCTGGAATTACAGGTGTGAGCCACCATACTCAGCCAGGTCTCTTAATCTGTGTAAGTTTCCTCCAATTTTCACACTTTCTTTTCATTGCAAAAAAATTGGCTTACATTCTGTAGATCCAACAAAATTGTCAGAAGTTCATCATTAATAAAGGATTCTCCCTGGTTTTCTTTTTTGTGTGTCTCTTCTTAGGAACCTATTACAGTGCCTCCAAAGAACTGACACTATCACTCTGCAGTGAGCTAGGAAGTCCTTTGGCCTTTGTTCATCTAAACTCCTAAATAGGCCGGGCACAGTAGTTCATGCCTATAATCCCAGCACTTTGGGAGGCTGAAGCAGGAGGATTGCTTGAGCCCAGGGCTTCAAGACCAGCCTGAGCAACATAGCAAGACCTTTTCTCTATTAAAAAATTTTTAAAAATTAGATACAAAGGGTCTGTAGTCCCAGCTACGTGGGACACTGAGGTGGAAGGATCATCTGAGCCCAGGAGGTTGAGGCTGCAGTGAGCTATGATTGTGCCACTGCGCTCCAGCCAGAGCAACAGAATGACACTGTGACTCAAAAAAAAAAAAAACCCACCAAAACTCTGACATAGTCTTAATTTTAAGTTCTCAGAACTCGGTTGTGACTGAACATGAGTGTTAATTGTGTATCAAAAACTTCCTATTTTGTGCAAGTAGCTTGAAGCCAGCTTGGATTGAATTCAGTCCAGATAGAGGTCCCATTTGCTTCTAGAGTGGGATTCAGATCCCTTTTTTTCCCCCTGTCCACAGTCTGTCCACTCCCTCATCAGCGACTTTAAGGACCCGCCGACTGCTAAATACCGGGCTGCACACGTCTTCTTCACTGACTGTGAGTACAGTCGAGAGAGAGAGCTGCCCCTGTGGGCAGGGTAGCATTTCTGCACAGCTGGGCTGAGCCAAAACCAAGGCAGGTCCCCAGGGGAGGAAGGGGCATTACCGTGCTGGTCCTGATCTGTTCTTTTCTCTTCTGAAGATAAACTGCAGGAGAGACAAAAGGAGACACACACAAATACAGGCCTGCCAGGTCATGCAGTCCTTCCTGATGAAAAATAACACACCAAGCACCTTCTTTTTTTTTTTGAGACAGGATCTTGTCTGTCACCCAGGCCGGAGTGCAGTCGCACAGTCATGATTCACCACAGCCTCAACTTCCTGAGCTCAGGTGATCCCGCCACCCCAGCCTCCTGGGTAGCTGGGATTACAGGCACAAGCCACCATGGGGTCTCGCTGTGTTGCCCAGGCTGGCCTTGAACTCCTGGGCTCCAGCAGTCCTCCCGCCTCAGCCTCCCAGTGCTGAGAGTGTAGGTGTGAGTCCCTGTGCCCAGCCCCAAGTCCCTCTTCTGAGAACTGAGGGACTTGATGACGAGAAGAACCTTCCTTCTGCTTGCCTTGGTGTTTCACTGTGCAGTGTAGACGTTCAGATATCACTGTGATGTGTTTCCATCAGTGTTTCAGCTGCAGAGGTATTCCAGTCCCGTGGTCTTTGTGTTCGTTAGAACCTGCATCATGGTCTGGAATTAATGTTCTTATTCTGTGGGGATTTGGGGCACGGATCCTAGTGGAGAGGCAAAGAGAGATGAGTTGACCTGGCTATCTACAGGATGTACCACAATAAGAATTCTCCCAGCGTTCTTCTCCCTAGGGATAAACTCTCACAGCAGTTGCCACTGAGAAAATGGAAAGGACACAGCAAAGCATAAGTTGGTTTTCTTTTTTTGAGTTAGGGTCTCACTGTGTTGTCCAGGCTGGAGTGCAGTGCCATGATTGCAGCTCACCACAGCCTCTAACTCCTGGACTCAAGCAGTCCTCCCACCTCCACCTCCCAAAGTGCTGGGATTATAGGCATGAGCCACAATGCCTGGCCAAAAGGAATCATTTTATAGTCAAGAATGTGCGAGACAAAGAGCAAGTAGATAGTGTCAGTCGTAACAACCCAGTAACGCATTTTTCGGGACCTGAAGACATCTGTGTGGCCTGGCAGAGGGTCTGGACTCATGACTCCCTCACCGAGTGGGCCGCCTGTACTGCTGAGCTGCCTGGAGAGTCTGAGGGAAATGCCTTTGTCGCATTGCCCAGTGATTTATTTATTTATTTATTTATTTTTGAGTTGAAGTCTCACTCTGTCACACAGGCAGAAGTGCAGTGGCACACTCATGGCCACTGCAGCCTTGACCCGCTGGGCTCAGGCAATCCTTCCATCTAACTGGAACCACAGGCATGCGCCACCATGCCTGACAAATTTTTTGATTTATTGTGGAGATGAGGTCTTGCTATGTTGTCCAGGCTGGTCTTGGAACCCCAGGCTCAGGCAGTCCTCTCACCCCCACCTCTGAAAGTGCTGGGATTATAGGCGTGAGTCATCGCGCCCGGCTATTTTTCTCTCTTAACATGCTAGATCTATGGTGTTTGTTTATAATTAAGACCTTTTCCTTACCCCTTCTTAATCTCTTTTGGTATTTTCCTTCCTTTCCTTGGTATCAGAAAATACTTTTGTTTTGTTTTGAGTCAGGGTCTCGCTCTGTCACCCAGGCTGGAGTGCAGTGGCAGGATCATGGCTTACCACAGTCTCGATCTCCTGGGCTCAGGTTGTCCTTCCACCTCAGCCTCCTAAGTAGCTGGGACTACAGGTGCACCACCACATCCAGCTAATTTTTTTTTTTTTTTTTTTAGTTCGAGTCTCACTCTGTCGCCCAGACTGGAGCGCAGTGGCCGCTCCCGGCCACCGCAGCCTCGACCTGCTGGGTTCCGGCAATCCTTCCACCTCAGCCTTCCAAGTAGCTAGAACTACAGGCGCGCGCTACCCGCCCGGCTAATTTTTTTGATTTATTGTAGAGATGAGGTCTTGCCAAGTTGCCCAGGTGGGTCTTGAACCCATGAGCTCAGGCAATTCACTCACCTTGGCCTTCCAAAGCACGGGATTACAGACTGAGCCACCGAGCCTGGCCCTAATTTTTTAAATATCTTTTTCTGTAGAGATGAGGTCTCACTATGTTGCCTAGGCTGGTCTAGAAGTCCTGGCCTCAGGTGATCCTCCCGCCTCGGCCTCCCAAAGTGCTGAGATTACAGGTGCGAGCCACCACGCCCAGCCATCAGAAAATAGTTTTGATTAGCCCTCACTATCAGTCTTTACTGCCATTTGTTTTTCTGTTATATGTTGAAGGCCATGCAGGTGGCTTTACCTTCCTTTTATACCCTAGAGGTATTGGATATTTTGGTGGGGGGTGAACTTCCTAGTTTCAAAAACCTGAGTAAGATAAAGAATGCACTGGGTATGACAGCTGTTAAATGAACCAGCGAGTGGAGAGGAAAGCCGACTGCCTTTTGCCATTCTTGCAGCTTGTCCAGATGCCCTGTTTAACGAGCTGGTAAAATCTCGAGCAGCCAAAGTCATCAAAACTCTGACGGAAATCAACATTGCATTTCTCCCGTATGAGTCCCAGGTGAGCCTGGGGGGGCGCAGAAAGTCTGCATGCTAGTTTTTCCTTGGGGAGCTCCAGGAGCGCGGGCGGGGTGGTACAGAGAGTGGGGGAGGGAAGGCGTCGTGTTCTGAAAGGCCAGGTGGAGGCTGGGAGCGGATGTGTATTCGAGGCGAAGTGTTCCAAGGGCCTGCCCTCTGCCCCGCTTACTCTCCTGCTACCTCTGACCTTCTGTCATCCAGGTGTCTTTCTTTGTGTGCGTTTCTTCCTTGCTCTCAGTGCCGACTCCTTGAATAACCAAAAAGTAGCCAATCCCAAAAGAGCTTGGAAGGAGAGGGAGGCGGCCAGAAGGCTGCCATCTGCTGCCAGGAGGCTGTTTCCAGTGAAGATAACCTCAGCTCTCTTGTGCGAGAGAGCAGATGGTGGCCTTCGCCTTTGGCCATTAACACTTCAAGTGCCGGACGCCACGGCCACCAGGCTCTCTCCTTGGGAAAAAAAAGTTGTTAAACCAGCAAAGGAGAAGCCAATTGTGAGAGAATATACAAAATATTTCTTAGTATTTTATGAGTTGTTAAAGCATCTTCTCCTAGCAAACAGGGAAACAAAAGCAGCAGGACTTCATGCATTTTGTGGAACTAAAAGATAATTGTGGCATATTGTATCTTTGTAGATCAGCTTCTAAATACCAGAGAGTGATGTATTCTTAGAAAAGGAGGGAGAGGAAAGATGAAGTATGAACATTTAAATTAAAGACAGTCTCTTTCCAGTCTCACTTGGCTTAAAGCCTGTTTCCTGCGTGGGAGAGGGAAATTTATTTATTTTTTCTGTGTATTCCATCACCACCTGGATTGAACAAAATCCAGCTTTAGCATATTCAACTATATTATATTTCAGAAATAAAAAAAATAAGCTGTATTTGGTTTGTTTTTTGAGTTGGAGTCTCACTCTGTCACTCAGATTGGAGTGCAGTGGCACACTCACGGCCCTTGCAGCCTCCACCTGCTGGGCTCAGGTGATCCTTCCACCCCAGTCTTCCAAGTAGCTGGAACTACAGGTGTACGCCACCACACCTGGCTAATTTTTTCATTTATGTAGAGATGAGGTTTCAGCCACGTTGCCCAGGCTGGTCTCGAACTCAGGCAATCCTGTCACCTCAGCCTCCCAAAGTGCTGGGATTATAGGCGTGAGCCACCATGCCTGGCCAATAAACTCTTTTTAATGTCAATATTTTTAGATGATCAAGGTAGTTTATGTAAAGGAGAGTTTGAGAGAATAATGATAGTTGGAAGACTCAGTCATTCATTTAAGAGGAAATTTTAATTTTATACTTAGGACATACTACTGAGGGTAAGATTTTTGTTTGTTGTTTTGAGTTGGGGTCTCACTCTGTTGTCAGGCGATCCTTCAGCCTTAACCTCCTGGGAAACTGGGACTATAGGCATGTACCACCATGTCCAAATAATATTTTTTTCTTTTTGTAGAGACAAGGTCTTGCTCCATTGCCTAGGCCAGAATATTATTAAATTCATAAAAAGTTCTTTTATTTGACCACAGTCACTGCACAGTGTCTGGCTTGTTTCTTTTTTAATTAAAGGAAGCTCACAGTGGCAGGTGTGCTCTCACACCAACCCCTCCTCTGCTATTTCTGGCCTCATCACTGTTTACCAGAAACCCTGGCACACACCGGCCTGGGGGCCTCAGCAGGCCTGGTCCCTCCACAGGGAGGTCTCCAGTTGGCGACAGACCCCTCACCGCCTCAGGCCCTTGCTGGGATGTCGCCTTGTCAATGAGTCCCCGTGCCCTCCCTACCCAGCCCTCCTGGGCTGTCTTGTCCACTCTGACGTCTTCCCATGTGCTCACCAGTTCCTCAGCACTGTGCAAGCTGCTTTTCATGCTGTTTACTGTCGGCCTTCTCCTACTGGACTGCAGACTCCTTGAGGACAGGGACGTTCCTGTCACCAGGAGCTCCCAAGTGTTCAACACCTTGCCTGGCATGTGGTGGGAACCCAGCACATGTTACGGGATAATACGCTGAGTATGTTCTGTCGACTCCTTACCGGAGCTGGTGGAAGGGCCACCACGTGTGTTTTCTCCTCCCCAGGTGTATTCCTTGGACTCTGCTGACTCTTTCCAGAGCTTCTACAGTCCCCACAAGGCTCAGATGAAGAACCCCATCCTGGAGCGCCTGGCAGAGCAGATTGCAACCCTGTGTGCCACCCTGAAGGAGTACCCAGCCGTGCGGTACCGGGGGTAAGGCAGCATGCTGGTCTCCTCAGGCGGCACCCAGGTGTCCCGTGAGTGAGGGCTGGCTGGACACCTCTGGCCTTACGGGTCCCCTGCCCGTTGTCTTGAGATAGTCAAGACTTACGCGTCTCTCCCTTACAATTGTTCTTCCGATGGTCTTACTGTCTCTTAAATGTTGTGGTGAAATATAAAAATGAAATAGAAAAGAGCATAACACATATAATCAGTTATTGGATGACTAAAATGTGAACCCCTGTGTGACTGCAACCCAGGTTTCCCACAGCTTTTAATCTCTTTCTAACCTTCAAAAGCAAGTGTCATCTTTGAAAAACCATTTCATAGTAAGAGATCCTTCTCCAAGGGACGTGCCCTCAAGTTGGATAAAGCCACTCCCACCTCACGTGCTTGCTGCATGCTCCATGCCCGGGAGAGGTAAAGCTGGAGACACAGCCCTGGGTCTGGGAGGGGGCAGGTCGCGCACCTCCGCACCTGCACGCAGGAGAGAGGCCCGCCGGGAACCAGACCCCATGAGACTGATCAGGTGCCTGGGGTGTCCAAGGTGGAGAGGGGCCCCCTGGAGCCGAGGATGAGGAAGGTCTTCAGACCAAAGGTGACGATCAACTGATGAGGAGAGATGGGCAACGTTTCATGCGGACCGTTAGCTCCTGCCAGGGCTCTGAGCAGAAGCTTGGAGTTGGGAGGACAAAGGGCAGGTGAGGAGAGGACAGGTAGTCCAGCACAGTGGATATGTGGGCAGCGGGCAGAGACGAAGCCACTTCTGGAGGCCTCAGTGCTGGGCTTGGGATTCTGGCCTTTGTGGGCTATCACTGGGAAGCCTACGGGGCTTGTGGACACAGGTGACTGACTGCAGTGCTCTGGGAGCAAAAAGATGGGGATGTGAGCAGGAAGGGCAGGGAAAAGCTGGAAGGGGAGGCTCAGCAGGATGCCACTACGAGAGGAGCGACGGGCTGGGTGCCACTCAGAAACTGCCAGCCACCTGCGGGAAGACAGGAAGGGCCTCTGGCTGCTGAGGTCCTGAGCTGAGGTCGCCAAGAGCAGGGGAGCCATGGAACATGCGCTGCACCTGTTCTGCTGCTCACCGTCTGCTGGAACTTGGGCTGTAGGAAAATGCCTCTTGGTTGGGCGCGGTGGCTCACGCCTCCAATCCCAGCCCTTTGGAGGCCGAGGCAGGAGGACTACTTGAGTCCTGGAGTTCGAAACCAGCCTGGGCAACACAGCAAGACCCCATCTCTACAAAACAAAACAAACCTAGCCAGGCGTGGTAGTATGTGCCTGGAGTCCTAGCTACTTGGGAGGCTGAGGTGGAAGGATCGCCTGAGCCCAGGAGGTTGAGGCTGTGGTGGGCTGTGATTGTGCCACTGCACTCCAGCCTGGGCGATTGAGTGAGACCCTGACTCAAAAAAAAGCCTCCTTGGTGTGCCATGCTGGTGCCTGGCTTTCCTTCATTGCTGGTACATATGAACGGGAGCCTGGTAGCAGTTAAGAAATGGGCCTCAGCCGGGCTCGGTGGCTCAGCCTGTAATCCCAGTGCTTTGGGAGGCTGAGGTGAGTGGATTGCCTGAGCCCGCGGGTTCGAGACCCGCCTGGGTAGCGAGACCTTATCTCTACAATAAATCAAAAAATCAGCTGGGTGTGGCAGCGCATACCTGTAATTCCGGCTACTCGGAAGGCTGAGGCGGAAGGATCGCTGGAGCCCAGCGGGTGAGACTCCAACTCAAAAAAAAAAACCAAACAAACAAACAAAAAGAAGAAATGGGACCCAGGCTGTCTCCTGACCTGGGATAGGAGCTCGGGCTGGGCAAGAGCCCCTGCAGTGAGGAGACAGCAGCGCCCCACCCGTCAGGCCTGGGACTCAACCACAGGGCAGTTCACAGTTCTCGCTTGTGTCACTCTGCCGGTGCCAGCCGAAGTGTCATTCGCCAGCAGAACAAAACAAGACCCAAGGGAAGCGAGACTTGCGTGGGTCAGGCTCAGGGGCCCTGGTTGAACACAAGCCAGGCCCTCTGGGAGGTGTGCTTGTGTGTCTGAAGCTACTTGGAGAGATTACTTCTGTTTCCATTTAGATTGCTTGAAAAAGGAACAAGAAAAGCACTTATTATGTTCCAGGTACATGGCTAAGCACTTTATTTTGCTTTTCCTTTTTGACTGTGTATGTGACACGTGAAAACCTTCTTGCTGTGAAATTAGTAACATGGCAATGCCCAAGGCCATCCCGTTTCCTTTCCAGGGCATTCGGCGTCCACGTGGGTCCTGGTGGCTCACACCGTGTTGCTCCTCCTTTTCCAGGGAATACAAGGACAACGCTTTGCTGGCACAGCTCATCCAGGACAAGCTCGACGCCTACAAAGCTGATGACCCCACGATGGGGGAGGTGAGTGTGGCTTGGCCCGCGCGCTCTCACCAGGGGACCATGGTACTGGTGTGACAGTCCCCAGGGCCAGCTCGGTTCTGTTGCTCTCCAAGTGCATGTGAGTGCTGCTTTTCCTGCAGATTGGCCTCCAGTGAAATGTCTAGCCCTCGGAGCGGCATGACCTGATATGTTCACTGTAGCCAGGTGGCCAGCTTGTTTGTGTTTGCCAGAGCCTTCTCAGCCTCAGCTCTGAGTGTCCCGCTCTCCAGACCCCAGCCAGGTGCTACTGGTTTTGGTGTGTGCTCTGCGTGTGAAGTTCTGAGCAGTGATATCACATGTAGAGAGTCACGTCAACACCATCACAGTCAAGATGCAGGGCTGTTCTATCGCCACCCTGGTTTTAAGGCTAGAAGTCCCGGTCCTGGGAAGCCCTCAGGCCCAGGCCCCAGGATGCTGGTTACCCCCTTTGTAGCCGAGTCTGGGCAGAGTCTCCTACGTGAACTCACCTCGGCCTCCTGCGCAGTTTCACGTGAGACTAAGTGTTCTCCTTATGAAATGGAAACACTGGATTCTCACGTGGTATTTTTTGGTGTCAGTGCTGTTTGGGGAGGTTCACTTTCAGGGCTCACTACCTGTTGCCCTCTTTGACAAGGGGAAAACCTCGGTGGAGAAGCTGGGGTTGTCTGGGTAGCTCATGCAGCAGCCCCTGTTCCCCCAGGGCCCCGACAAGGCTCGCTCCCAGCTCTTGATCTTGGACCGAGGCTTCGATCCCAGCTCCCCTGTGCTGCACGAGCTGACTTTTCAGGCTATGAGCTACGATCTGCTGCCCATTGAGAACGATGTCTACAAGTAAGTATGGCGTTGCAGACTCGGGGTGACTGCAGCTTTGCCAATGAGCCAGAGTATGTCTTGCTAGGAAGAAGGACGTTCTTAACTGGGGAAAGCAGGTGCTTTGACACTTGCTTTTCTCCTTGAGCTTTTCTGTGTGTCCCTCAAGTCCACCTGGCATTTCCAGGCAGGCACTCATACTCCTTGGGAGTGCAAGGACTTTAGTCCCAGCTCACACCACTTCAGCTCACAGCCTACTTGGAGATCTCCGCATGTTGATGTGTGTGTGTGTGTCTGTCTCAGAGTTGAAACTTCTTTTCTTTTTTGAGTTGGGGTCTCACTCTGGCACAATCACTGCTCACCTTAGGCCTCAAACTCCTGGGCTCAAGGGATCCTTCCGCTTCAGCCTCCCAAGTAGCTGGGACTACAGGTGCGTGCCACCACATCCAGCTAATTTTGGGAGTTTTTTGTGGAAATGAGGTCTTGCGGTGTTGCTCAGGCTGGTCTCTTAACTCCTAGGTTCAAGCAGTCCTCCTGTCTCCGCCTCCCAAAGTGCTGGGATTATAGGCATGAGCCACCACGTCTGGCCAGAGTTGAAACTTCTTAATTATAGATCATGAAATATGGTGACAATCAAGCACGTGAACAAGAGTTTCTTACTGAGCTTCTCTCAGAGGAGCCACTTTCTTCATTACAAAACACATTTTTCTTGGTAGCAGTTAGAAAATTGGTTTCTAAAAACCAGCTTTTCTTTTTATGGCTCCAGACTGTTTCAGAATAGACATTGTCCTCATGGCATTTCTTTTATAGCACTGATCACAGAGATAGCAGTTGCAAAATGGAGATCTAAAAATATGAGTGGATCTCAGTCCTTCTCCCTTTGGGCCCTGGATTTCTCGCTTCCGCAGCTATTGATGACGTCCCATGAGCAGTGCCAAGGGCCTCTGCAGGGAGCTGCCGGGAGCACTCAGGCCCACCCCTTGGAGGCTGGCATTGCGGTCCTTTTCCGGAGAGGGACGTGGAGGACCTTTGCTTTTCCGCAGTGCATACTGTGAACCCACGTGTAACCTGACTACAGACTCTTTCTGGGTGGCTCGGTTGGGGCTTGCATCTGCCAACTCTGAAGATTTTAAGACAGAATTTCACATTGGTTGACTTTAAAGTTCTGTGTCTCTCCTGCCCAAAGAATCCCACGTTAGTGCTGACACAGCAGACCCAACACATATCCGCTGGTCAGGGACTTGGGAATCAGCCATGTGGACACCTGGCAGCCAAGGGCCAGGGGCTGCGGGTGTCGTAACTGAAGGGGGCCGGTGACTGCTGGGGCCTGGCATGCTCCACTGAGCCATGTCTCCCCTCCAGGTACGAGACGAGCGGCATTGGGGAGGCACGGGTGAAGGAGGTGCTTCTGGACGAGGATGACGACCTGTGGATCACACTGCGCCACAAGCACATTGCAGAGGTATCCCAGTAAGTACCCTTTCCCCCCACCCCCAGTGGGACGTCTCTCCCTGGTTGCTGTCAGTGCGTGTACACTCTGGCCAACAGGGAGCTCGTCAGTGAATGAACTTGTTTCCTTGGCAGAGTCACTGACATGCTAACCGATAATGATAAATCCCTTTGTTCTCTGAGCGAAAGCTACCCCAACTTCACAAAGTTAGAAAAGCCATTCCAAGCCAGGCTCGGTGGCTCAGACTGTAATCCCAGCACTTTGGGAGGCTGAGGTGAGTGGATT